TTCAACTCCCAGAATTCTGGGAGTTGAAGTCCACACATCTTCAAGTTGCCAAGGTTGAGAAACACTGTGCTAGAGGTGCGTCCATCTACCACATACAAGAAGTTCTTCCAGCCTTCTCCAGGAGTTCAAACTGGCTTACAAGGGAGCAATCTCCCTTCTCACAATGACTCTCCTGGGCCAACAGAGAGAGAGAGAGAGAGAGACAGTTTAAGTTGACTGGCCCAAAGTCACCCATGAGCTTCCATGGATGGATTACGATCAGGTTCACAACTCAGGATGAAAATAATCAACTCTCCAAACAGTGTCAGGTCCTAAATGCCCATCTGCAAAAGTCATCGTCTGCAAACAACAAATTGCAGAATTGGAGCAGAGGATAGCTATAATAAGACGGAAGGGTCAGCAAGCACAAACTAAACGAGGCTAACTAACTAACCCTGATTAGTTAGCTAAAACGAACAGCAAACAGTTGTTTCTTTTGTCATCTACGGTGAGCAGAATTTGCTTCCAGGTGAATACCATGAAATGAAGGATTTGTACCTTGGAAGGACCAAGTCCTTCCCTTTCTCCTTTCATTTTTCATTACTAAATACAATTGCTAAGACAGTTGGATGGATAGGCTGGGGCTAACCCTTGGTTAGATTTATTTGCCAGCATGAATTGCAATAAGGAGAAAGTGCTAATTTGCAGGCCAAAGGGAAAACTGAAAGAACCAAGATACTAGGGGATGCCCCGCAAACGCTGGACTCTGTCCAAAGACACAGCTGGTGATCCAGCACGTTGCAGCTGTGTTCTTCTGGCAGAGAACATGGGTAAAACCAAGTTGTGACACTAACATCAATGAGTTGGCTACATCACTCTGTGTAAAACACTGTTTAATCACCAAAAGTGCCACAATTAAACTGCTGAGCAGATTTGAATCATTATTAATAGAACCGATGCTTACAAAAGCTACAGAAGATAAGCTCCAAGAAGGAGACCTTCCCCCATTTTCCTGGGGGGAAAAAGTGCCATATATAAAAATAAAATATGCCCTTTTGGGACTAATTTTATGCATATGTTGCTTTGAGAAATCAGCCAGTGAAAGCAACACAGATTAGTGAATTAAGATCCCTTGTACAGCTAAAACCCTTAGTAGGGGTATCCTTTTCAAAACTGGCCCCCAAATCTCGCAAAACTGCCAACCCTTGCCAGAGATCTGTGTATCGCTGCAACTTTGCAAATGTCAAGAAGATTCCACGCTTGCAGGCTGCTTTATTTCTTTCTCTTTTTCTGCTGCCCAGATTATACGTGAGATTTTAAAGAGGCCAATTTTCTTCTGCCAGGCCCTGGCAGCCAAAAAGACTGCTGGCCCTTGTGCCGAGTGATAAACCTTACATAAATCAAAATGGTTGGGTTCCCACATCACTGTGCGTGAGTGAGATTTATGGTATGTTGCACACATTCCTCTGTGTCCTGGTGACTATCTGGATGGTCCAGATAGCTTTCTTGGCAGCAGTGAAGAAGTGTCCTCCATGACATTATGTTCCACTTCCCAGTCTAGCCTACAGCTCTGGGATTTCCTGGTTCTCTTTCATCCCAATACTAACCAAGTCCAAACTTACATTTTTTAGGTTTGGAAAACTCTAATTGGAAGTTAAACATTCTGCAAGGTGTTTCTTGAATCCCCCATCGTAGCTATTCTTCTTGCCTGACCACCAAACAGAACCTGAATTTTTGCTCCTAGCTAGAAACCATGGGATTCAAGGCTGATGCAACGTCCCCAAAGATTCCACTCCAAACTTTCAGCATCAGAACCCCAACTTCTAAAGTAGCAGTGATTTTGTCGAAAGGGTTCTTTTCTTCCCACTATGGTCATCTTAACAAGTCAAGCTGGTTTCATACATTTCAAAATTGTGCTGTTGAGTGGCTAACTTTCTTATGTCAGGCTACAGGGTGGCCAGGTGAGATACTAAACGTTTATTAAGTTCAAAACGTACAATTTCTTCCTGAGAAAATATAACAGTGGTGATGGTGGTGCTCTAGGGACAGAGGGGTGCCTTCAAAAGATAGGACACCGTTTTTAGCATCCTCCCACGTGTGAAACTCAGCGCTAAGTGTAAATGGAGTTTAGAGATCTGGTTTTCCCCTTACATGAATAAAAACCCACCTGCACCCGGCTGAAAACATTACTCTGCAGAACAAAGTGCCCAGCCTGGAACATCAAACATTTTCTGCACCTGTGCTAGCTAGACATTATCTTGGAGAACAATAAAGATTCTAATAAGTAACTGTATGAGTCACTCTGCTTCGAAAAAGAGGAAGGATAAAGACCAAGCGTCAATGTGATTGAAAGCCAGAGATCAATGCATCAGGGAAGGATGCAAATAGAGCTGAGCGAATATCAAATATAATGGGCTTTGGAGTACCACAGGGTTAGGCTAAGAGGGTTGGGATGGTAGGATAAGACCAATCTTTTCCTTTAAATTAAAAAACAAAAGCCTCTCAGGTTGGTGAGTTTTGGGCTTCTCTTGTTTCACACCCAGAATTAAAATATGTATTTTTAAACAGAACTTGCTGCTTTGGGCATAGACCTTGTGATGGAAGACCGCAGCACCCAGCTCTTGTAAACAGTTTGGCAGGCATGGGACTCATTGAAAGAGGGGTAGGTTTTGGTTATAGGTGTGCAAGGCAATTTGCAACAGAACAAACCGAGCTGATGGTCTCGGTTGGATGTGAGAGTCTGAGGCTGCAGATTAATTCGGAATTTGCTTTTAAAGATTCCCTCTGACCAGCTACTCATAGATCCTGTAAGCTGCAACACCATGAGTTGAATCTGAAGCTTTTTGATTGGGCCCTTCAAACTTCCAGATATAAGCCCCATGAGCAAAACCAACTGTCCTTCTCCTTCTCCTTCTCCTCCTTCTCCTTCTCCATCACCATCTCCTCCTCCCCCTTTCTGCTTCAATGCTGCTCCCATCAGCTCCAAGAAGTTCCCAAAACTCAATATGAAGACTAAAAACACGCAATAAACCCAAAGCAACCCAAAAAATCAACAACCATCATCCCACCTATACATCTCGCAACCTTCAGGAGAACAGTCAGTCTTTCACTTCCTCCTAAGGAGATGGCCGTTGGTGCTCTCCAAAGTTCTAATGGGGAGAGCCCATCCTTATCTCCAAGCTGCCCCAGAGGAGAGGGGCCATCCCTGAGAAGGCTCGTTCCTGGGACTCCTGGCGCTGGGATCTGCTTGGGGAGGGACTCTATGGAGGTTCTCTGTCTTGGGTCTCCCAGGACGGGCAGGTTCTACAATCTCACAGTTACCCAAGTCCCAAGCCACCAGCACCTGAATGCCACCGGGTTAGGATGCAGTGGGACATGCATTTTTCAGTGAATACGGCTTCCCTCTATACTTCCTTATCTGTTCCACTATGCAGAGGTGGTGGTGGGGGGGATCCCTTTGGTTTATGCTGGTCCCCTGTTGTGCAATCCTCCACTTAACAAGCAAAGCTTACTGAACTGACTCTGAAACAAGAAGAGGGCCAAATGCCTACACGCACTTGCTTAATCCCTCCTGCTTCAAAACACCAGAACGTGGGGCCTTGCAAATGGGAGACAAAGGTATGGGTGACCTGATCATGGCAAGTCCCTATTCCAGAGGACTCAGCTTCAGAGACGCCCTTGCTACACTCCTACCCCCTTACCACCATCTGCACGTCCTCATAAGACAAACCAGGCTGGATTAGACCCAAGACTAACTGCAATTTTTCCCAAAGCGATCCAGCTGCCCTGAGCAGCTCGGAGGCAAACCACAGGAACCTCGCGACTCAAGAATTTGAACAAGTGCCTCATTCATCCTCAAGAACATGAAGGCGTAAAACAAATACCTGAGCTCAAACCTCCAAACTACCAAGACTCCTGAACTCAAGTAAGCCTCCTTAGTAGCTTGCTCAGACATTTGCAGATGCCGGCTCACGAGTTACCTGAAATCAGCACTTGTGTTTTTAAACGGGAACTAGGAAGTAACTCGCTACAAATACTGACTCGTTCCAACCTCCACTTTATTATTTTTCTTATCTCACTATAAGCGGAAAATCTAACCCATGTTATGTTTGGCATCTGATGTCATGACTGGTCACCATTTATTACATGACTTCAGAAAAGTTGTTTGCACGCTCCTTCAGTGGGCAGAACCTCGTGGTCTGTCCCCAGCGCCGTTCAAATAAACTTGGCCCAACCAGATCGCGTGGTCTCCACTCGTCCATTGAGTCATGGGGAATTTTCCTCCTTCAAACACACACAGATAATCAAGCGCACGCTGAGTACAAAGGTGACAGAGCAACTGCAGTGAATTTGCGCAATCTGGTTGGGCCAGGATGACTTGAGCACGTTCTGGCTCCAAAAGATGCTGTTTGTTTCTTACCTTATCAAGTAGCAGCAGAAGAGTAAACTAAGGATGAAGACAAATATAGCCGTGCCAAAGACCACAATGTATATGTTGAGAGGCAGGTTCTGGAATCCAATGTTTGGCATCCTGAAACTGTAATGCTGGAAATCTGAGCTCATGGATGGTCTGCTAAGAAGCCAAAAGAACAGGAAAAACAACATGGTGAGAAATCAGAACTCCTTCTCCTTCTCTTTTACACCCCATCATTCAATACAGCAGTGCAATTATTGAAAGAAAGAAAGAAAGAAAGAAAGAAAGAAAGAAAGAAAGAAAGAAAGAAAGAAAGAAAGAAAGAAAGAAAGAAAGAAAGAAAGAATACAAGGCTGGAAATGAGAGTGGACACAGAAGAGCAAATGCATGGCAAGAAAAACATGGAAACGACCCGATAGAGGCTGTCTGCGCAGCAGAGATGGAACACAACTACACTGCAGCCGCGAGGAAAGGTGATGGTTCTTTTCTAGTGTTAGAGCACCATTTCTGTTTCTCAAAAACCTAACATCATTTTTAGTACAGGGCTGGGATAGGTGCACCAAGATATGGAATGGAAATAGAGATTGGGTCTGATTATGGCATGCAAGAAGGAAAACATGCTTCCAAGGTGGAACCACCCAGGTGGGTGGGGAAAATAGATTGCTAACTTAGCCCCCCAACCCCTCACTCTTGAGGGCCAATAAGCAATACATGGATCGACGGCAAAATCCAGAAACCCCTATTTCAAATCAAGCAGGGGACTGTAGAACCCACGTTCAGCATACCCGACGTGTCCCATGCAATCCTGAAAGAGAGGACATCAGAGCCTGCTGCCAGGGAAATGGAAAGGATCTGGGTATGAAGCACCTTCCAAGATGCCTTTCTCACACCTTTCCTGCTTCCCCAGGCCTCCTCTCCAAGAGCCCCCCTCCTCATAGGACCCACAAGGTGAAGGAACAACGAAAGGAAAGATGGGCCTGTCTGACTTCAGCCCAGCACGGGAATCTGGAAGAACCCAGCATCACTTGAACCCCAACAGCCCAACGCAAAGTAGCAGCATTTGGCAACCAGTCCTTTCTCTGACCTCACTTCAGTTGAAAAGGCACCTCCTCGACACCCACGCCAGACTCAGAAAACCACCAGGAGACTCACATGCTGTGTGGCATTGGGCAGCTAACCCTCCCACTGCTTTTCAACAGATTGGGGAACTGCGAAAGTTGTTTTCCCTGCAAACGAGCACCGAGCACCGTTCGTCAGTGTGGCAAGGAATAGCCTTGCATCCGGTAGAAACTCCCTCCTGCGAACGCTCTCGGCAGCTCAGCTCAGCTCAGCTTGGCTGTTCTCCAAGGCCCACTCCGACCGACCGTCCTCCGAATGGATCCCTGCCTTGGCTGAGCTTCTGAGAGGCAGAACGTTCCTTGTCTTCTAGGCGTGGTCTCCCATTCGGGCCCTTATTATGATCTGTTTGCAAGAAGAGGAGGAGGAAGGAAGGGAGATTTCCATGGGGCACGTGGGGCTGCCAGAGGAAAATTCCAAAGCACCATAAAAATAGACTTCTGCAGCTTTTTTCACAGGCTCGTTCCCAACACAGCTGCTTGGCAGGTTTTATGCTGAATTCCTCATTCCAAGCATTGCTCAGTCCAACCACAGGATGAATTGGGTATCAGTCCAGAATGCTCCCCTTTGACTGTTCCCCACCTTCACTCCAATGTCATTGGCCTCCTTGGTGGAAGCAGAAGGTGTGGATTGGCACACCCTTGAAAGCATAACATGACTTGCACAGCTGGAAACCCACAACTCACACCCCTGCAAAGTAAGTTCCAAGAGGTCTCAATGACCCCCCATGGAGATGCAGCTTCCATGATTATTTCCACCCTAGTGATATCTGGCATCTTACAGCATCCTCCAACCATAGACAGGCTTCTCGAGGCTATAAATCATGATGGGAAGGGCTCTTCTCTCAACTGCAGCATGGGGCCCTAGTTTGCAGAAGCAATTCTGGGTGCTAATCACCGTGGTTAACCAGAAGCACAGGGAATAATTGGGTGGGATTGTTTTGATCAAGAACAGTCTTGGTAGAATGGAGAAGTGGGCTGAAAGTAACTGAAGAGACAACTGCAAGATTCTTGACTTAGGAAACAAATATCGAATGCACCATAAGGGATGAGGGGATATCAGGAGAGCAATAGTGAGCAATAGTCAGACCTCACTTCAAGTACTGCGCCCAGTTTTGGGCACCACATTTTCAGAATGATTCAGAGAAATGGAACCCGTTCAGAGAAGGGCAACCAGTATGATCAGGGGACTAGAATAACTAAAATGAGAAATGCCAAGTGAGGGGAGATAAGATAGCATTCTTCATAAATCTGAAAGGATGTCACACAGAAGAACATCAAGACCTGTCTTCTCTAGTTTCAGAGGGCAGGACACAGCATAATGGATTAAGATTCAGGAAGGAAAGTTCCAGCAGAGTTTTAGAAGAAAATCTGGAAATAATAAGAGGAATTTGGCAGTGGAATCAATGTCCCAGAGTGGAGATAGGCTCTTCTTCGTTTTCAAGTGGAGGTTAGCTAGATGTCTGGATACTTCCATTTGGATGATTCTATAAAGTAATTATGTTGGAATAAGTTCAACCTTCTGCTCAATGTAAGAAGCCTAACTGAAGAACCCCAAGTGATGGATGTCTAGCCTCTAGTCAAGCACCTCCAATGAAGGGACCCCACTGCCTTCCTGGGCTATAGGTACCACTGTTGAATCTCTCCTGATGTAGGAGTAAGGAAAATGACCTTGACAGAGATAGGCCAGACCTGTTACCAAGGTGACAAGGAGAAAAACCGGTCTTAAGTCCAAAACAAGCAGAAGGAAGGAGAAAGCCGCTCAGGCAGACGCCTCCCTAATTCACTGGAGTGCAAGAAGGGGGAGGAGATCCAGCGCAGGCTTATAAGACACTGTTATTAAGGCCAATCTCAACAAAAATAGTTTCAGCCTTTCTATGGAGCTGATTCTTGGTCTGGTCTACCTGGTGGAGCTGACACCTACTGTTAGTCCTCCTCGATTTCCTCTGTTTTCTAAACATACTTCATCCCCACCTCTCTCTTTAGATCCCCAATCATTCTTGCTGGGCTTTTCTAAACGACTGTGACAAAGGATTTCACCCTAAGGATGAATCCCCATTTCAGTGAGAACTTAGGAGCAGTCAACTTACCAAATTTTATTTCTATCTGCTTTATAATACAGTTGTTTTGAGGGACACACATTTCATGGAGAAAGAGGACCCAGATCTCAACCAGCTTCAGCTCAGTCTACCTTCACTTCCTATCTGCTTAGGAGCAGACCTATGGAGTTTCCCACATTGTTAAAGGAGAAAGCACATGACTAAAAATTTTTCCCACCCAAAGAAAAGTAAATCAGGTTGGAAGTCAGAAAGAGATTGCACGGTACTGATTCATCACTCGCAAGACCAGTGAACTAACACACTATACAAAAAAGTGGCTCGTCACATAGGAAAGGAAGGAAAATGCTTGTCCTCATCCAAAATGCGTGTGTCTGTGTGTAATGTGGAGGAAGCACTTGTCCTCAGTGTTTTCAGAAGCAAGGTTATAATGCTGCTCTGCAGGTATGTGGTCATCTTCCTTACGCAACACATTTTTGTGCAAAGAAAGAAGAAAACAGAAGAAGCAGTAGGAAAAACAAAGGAAAAAGCTGTCAGCATGACCTAATCTCAAATTCCAGGAAATGTGGAAATCACACACACACACACAAACCATCCTTAGTATCTACGTAGACTTCCTGTCTATGAAAGCACTGCATACATTTGCATACATTGCGCTCACCCTTCGCAAGGACTGAAGCTGTATAATTCGTGGTAGAGATCATTAGATCCGTGGCCCCTTGCAGAAACAGCCACGTCTGCCCTGTTCCAATTCTTGCAAAGGCATCTCTTGCTTAACTGGGCTTTATTAAATAAACCATAGGGGCAAGATTCACTTTGCCACAAATGTGGCTTTGCAAACTGGTGGGTTTGCACATCACCTTCATCCCAAACCCAATAAACCACCCTGGTGGTTTAGCAAACAAAAACATTTCAAAGTCTGCTTGTAGGGCTACGGTGGAGCATCCTAAGGACCTACTGGCGCACGGCTGTGATGCTGCTAATGGCATCTCTTCCTGGTTGGGTGGTTTTGTGACAAGTAGGGGCATAGCCAATCATTTCTCCTCCTCCCCACTGGGAAAGGTATTACACTCCTAGTGTGCAAGAAACGCCACTGATAAAATAAGAAGGGGGACTACAGGGTCAAAGAGGGTTAGTTCATCGTAGCCAGGTTAACGTTGTCTACATTTTGCATCTTCCAAACTAGACCACTGCTACGCCCGTAGGATATACTGAGTTGGATCCAAGCGTCAAAGAAATCTATCGACCTCAACAGAACTCAAAGTCATCCTGGCTGACTTGAGTCCTATTTATTTTAATGGATTTACTCTAAATACGCTCCCTCCTGTGGAACAGCTTCCCCCCAGCCCACCCCAAAGGAAACCTGGCTCCATATCTCACGGTTTTCTGGAAGCTGTTCGGGAGGGCCTTCGGAGACTGATCCACGTGGAACCATTCGTGTGAACGTGCCTCTCAAATAAGTGTATTGTTACGAGTGTGATCATGTGTCCTTGTTTTCAATTTTGGAGTCTGCGTTTCACCCAACGTCCACACAGACGGAGACAGAAAATAAATGGCACAAATAAATAAATAGATTTCTAGCCGAATGGCCGCTTTCTTGCTCTGACCATTTTTTTTTTTTTTGAAATTGCAGAAGGGGTCCTTTGGAGGTGCCTCCTCTTGCCAAGCTCTGCTAGTTTAATGCCTAAGGAAGATCTTCCCTGTTATTCCCAAACTGTGGGAAAAAATCTCCTTTGGAACTGCACGTGATCTGATCTCCACTTCACAACACGCGAGCAAGCGCATCTTTTTAATTGGCACTTCCGATTCGTTTTTTTATTCTACGTTACTTATTGCAGGTCTTCATTCTGTTCTAATCCTGCTTTCAATTATGCTGTATTTTTTATTATTATCAGCTGCTCCAACGGCAATTGAGTTCAATAAATTACAGTGACAGATTTGAGTCCAACTCTCTCCTGTAATATTTCACATCTTATCAGCAATGGAGTGAGGAAATGATACAGAAGATTAATTAAGTGGAACAAATAAACATATAACTAAATGGAGGGTGGTGGATATATGGGCACATATACAAATACACACACACACACACCCCACAGGCCTTTATTCCTTTAATCAGTCGCAAAGGATTCACCCTGAAGCCATGGGACCCTCACGGACATCTGTGCCATTTAACTATATCATTTGCAGTTTCAATCAGCTTTGCATTTTCAAACCCATTAAAAACCTCTTTTTTTTTTTTTTTTTTTTTGCAAAAGAGAAGAATTGCACACACTGCTCTAGCTGAAGTGGTTGATTGATCTCAGGCAGGAGATGGGAATTAACAAGGCTATGCCTCACATTAAAAAAAAAAAAACCTTGCACATAGAAAACTAGCACAACAGGAAGAAAATCACCCAGACTGCTAATTTTCTACATGCAGAGAAAACAAGAAAGGGAGATTTAATGGAAACAAGATGACTGAATATTCTTTGCAGACTTTCCTCTTCAGCAAATGCAAGGTTTGCGGGGATGGCTCTGCCTCCCTGCAGTTTTGATAAATTTTATAACTTTTACCCATGACATATATGCATAAAAAAAAAATTGCTTTGGGGGCTAATGGCCCCAGTTCAAGGGGTCCCTCCCAAAAATAACAGCTAGGGGGAAAAAAACCCTACTTCAATTTGATGCGATTCCCATTTAGATGCAATTAAAATGGCACAGCTAACACAATTTCTCTCTAGTCGTGTCTTTAATCCTATTTCCTTTCTGTTACATTCACAATTGAGAATTTACAGGCTTCCATGGGGTCACACTCCAAGCAGAATGCCAGGCCACTCTGACCACAACTGTGGCAAACAGAAATATGTTGCCCAAACATTTGATAGAGATCAGCTGTTTTTTCCCCCTAGTTCCTGAAATTCAATGACTTTAAATGAAAGTAAATACTTTCCCCTCTCTAACACAAAAGAAGATTCATCCAGGAACAGGAACTCAGGGTGTGTGTATGTCTTTCAAGTCTTTAATGATTTCATTCATTCAACCATCTTTCAAGACAGTAGAAAAACAGTATTTTCCATTGCTTATTAGCAGTTTGCACACAGCTTCACATTTAGGAACACCTGGAAGGAGATATTATGTTTGAATTGGGGGCCAACCCAAGTTCCAAGCTGGGCTAGTTTTACAGTTGTGAACAAGTGTTGGTTTCTAAAGCCAAGAGGTTTAAGGCTAGGAAGAGGAGAAATGAAATAAGCCTTATAA